AAAAAAAAAAAAGAATTGAAAGCAGGGACTCAAAAATATATTTGAAAATACATGTTCATAGGAGCAATATTCATAATAGCAGCAAGGTGGAAACGACCCAAATGTCCATTGATGGATGAATGGGGGAACAAAACATGGCATATACATACAATGGAATATTGTTATGCCGTAAAAAGGAATGGAATTCTGACACATGTTACAACATGGATAAAACTTGAAGACATTATGCTAATCCATGATGTACAACCATCACCACTATCAATTTCCAGAACTTCTTCATCATCTCGAACAGAAACTCCGTACCCATTAAACAATAATTCCCCATTCCTCCTTCCTCTCAACCCTCGTAACCCTGATTCTACCATCTAACTCTATGAACTTGTCTTTTCCAGGTACCTCAAATAAGTGGATCATATAGTATTTGTCCTTTTGTGCCTGGCTTATTTCACTTAGTATAATGTTTTCAAGGTTCATCCATATTACAGCATGTATTAGAATTTCATTTTGCTTTAAGGCAGTATAATATTCTATTGTAAGAATATCCAACATTTTATTTATTCATGTGTTGATGGACCTGTGGCTTTGAATGGCATATTAGCACTCCTCATCATTCCTGCTATCTTATGAAAATATCATTGTTTATTAAGAGATTATATAAGTTTTGTTATTTTTAAATACCCCAAGCAACAAATCACAAGCTTCTGTGGTGAATTACAAACTTGTTGTCATTTGGTTTATAGAGAACAACATAAAGGAAAAAATGGATTTTTACAATGTACTTTTTCCTCAATAAATTTCTATCTTGTTCATAATAATCTCTTTTTAGAGAGAGTTAGAGATTCTCTATTTGTTTTAAGATAAACTTCTCCTATACATCTCTCTCAGTTGGGCCAAAATAAAAAATAACACTAGCATCTGTGTATAGGCAAAATGTCATTTAAGTTAATAGGAAACAACCTAGGCCAGGCACATTGGTTCACGCCTGTAATCCAGTGCTTTGCGAGGCCTAGGCAAAAGGATCTCTTGAGGCCAGGAGTCTGAGACCAACCTGGGCAACATAGTGAGATCTTGTCCCTGTAAAACAATTTTTAAAAATACAAAATATAAAAAAACAAAATTAGCC